ATCCGTTCCCTTATTTCAAAGTAGGTAGGACTTAGCACTTTGAGCTAATCCAAACCTAGTATGTCACCGTCCCATACCGGTGCATACAATCCAATCCATCTAACAGTTGATAGCATACATAATCAATGCACATAACAACTGAAACATAATAAGCATAAATAGAAATATAGACTATCATGCTTACTCCAATAACTGATAGATCAAAATAATAAGATGTATCAATTAATTCCATGATGAACATAAATTAAATGAATAAACAATCATGTTTATCTTATATCTCTGTTACAGAATGATCTCACACCTGAACATGCAACCATTCCATCTCTTCGTCCATTATTCCATGACAAGTATAATAAAAATTATATTAATTATCATGCTTGTCCACTATTAAAAATACCAAATTAGTCAAGTTTCCAATCACAGAGAACAATTAACCCAAGGTTCAGAAATATTGAAACTCTCTGCACTGAAACAAAACACTTTTCGGCGAGACTTACTAGTGATCAAGCTATAAACTCCTACTGGTTTATTAAGCATTAATCCACTCTCTCAAGTGTTAACTAGACTTAGAACATCTCAAAACACCCAAGGATAGCTTCCTCCAGAATCAGAAAATCCTAAAATCCGAGTTCCACAGCCCAAACGGTTGCCTAAAAACTCAGAAAATGGAAGAACTGGAAAGAGGCTGCTCCAAACAAGTTGGAGCCGCCTCCAACCTAGATGGAGCCGGCTCCAACCCACTTGGAGCCGCCTCTAAGACACTTTGAGCCGGCTCCAAACCCTTTTAGAGCCGCCTCCAACTTCTCCCCTCATCTCTGCTTCATCTCATCAACTACGTCTTCTCCTGTGTCTATTTCGACGACGTCCAGTTTGTTTGTCCTCCTAACCTAAGGTTCAAAAAGGTCTGAACTAAACTCTAAGGTGTTCCAGAGACCATTAACCTCTTTGTCTAGTGACCAATAATGATTTAAACCCCAATTATACATTAAGGATTTAACACAGACAACCTACAGTTTGCAAACGCTTACTGTTTAAACAATTCAAACTCTGTAATTCAGATCACTTCTAGTAGTCACCAACAGGTTCCAGCCTAATTACACTCTTAAAACACCAATTAACATGAATTTAAATCAGAAGTTATGCAAAGAGGAAAATTAAACCAACAGTCACATCTTGCAACCATGTCCAGTTTTAAAACTCAAACATGCATATCAATTGAATTTTAAACTTTATATTATACTGGAATTGTATTAGAGATGCAAAGAACACGAGTCTAAGGAATAGATATATGACTAGAACTTGCCTTTGAGACTTTTGTTCAAAATCTCAACGTCGTCTTCAAAGGTTCCGGCGATCCCAACTGAAAGCCCTCCTCTATTCTTTCTCTACCTCCACAGACGTGAATAGGGTTCTAAACCCTAGGCCTAACGTTAATATGTTTATTTATAGAGGTATACAAAACCTAAACTAATTAAGCCCTAACAGAATCCTAACCGGCCCAGAGTAAACTTAATTTAAACCCTGCGTCGGCTACCTACGTGCCTTCTAAAAACAAAACCCTAATTAAATTTTCATAACGAAAAATTAATTAAAAAAAACTTCTTAAATTAAAACATTCAATAATCACTTCAATTAAAACATTCAATAATCAATTCAATTAAAGAAAAACAATAAACTCCAATTTAACATAATACAGAAAATAAAAATAAAAACAAGTTTATAATTAATATAGAAATAAAATACAATTTAATAATTAATTAAGTCACAAAATCACCATTAAATAACAAGTCATTAATTATTGCACATAAACACGCCAATCAACAATTTAAACAATTTAAAATTCAATTAAAACAATAAATTAAGTACCAGGACTATCCTTTTGAAATTAGGGGTACTACAGTCTCTGACCCATGACAACTCCATGGCGTTATTTGGGGCTCAGGTAACTCAACCACGCTAGGGCATTCTCCCCAATTCCCTCTAGGCCACACTAACGCTACGGTCCCTAGGCAATTCTTAGGCAACCGGGTTTTCGCAAACTCTTTTAAAACTTTTCCCCAAAAACTCATTTCATTTCTTCCAAAACCATATTCCCATTTCTTTCCCAATGAAGTGCATGGATGCTTCATGCTTCACAATGTCATGCCAATAAACAATTTCATTCTTTGCAAGTCAAATATTCACAATATACATGCCTTGTAGAAATTTTCTAAATTTTTACATTATATTTCTAAGTCACAAAATTCAGTACATAAAACACAATAGGCATGAAATTATCATTACTTTAGCATAGTTATTCATCATATACCAACTAACAATTATTCACACCCCATATACAACACATAACAAATATTGTATGAAATATACACAAATTAGGCATGTTATAGCACAAATTATGAAGAATTAACTCGCAAAGTCCAAGAAATTGTGGATTAGAAAACCCTACCTCTTAATTGAAGAAAATCCCCAAAATCAAGCCCTAATTTCGAAATCCAGGGGTTGGGCTAAATGGTGCTTGGCTCCTATCAAATTGACGGTCTCAACGAGTTCTCCGACTTTGCTTCACAAGGTTCTAACAAATTCTAAAGGGATAAAGCTAGATCAAGCCTAAAATGTGGAAGGGGGGAAAAAAAAAAATGAAATGCCGAGAGGGAGAGATATTTCGTAGAGTGAAGAAAGAGAAACAAAATGGATCTGCAAAAAATGAAATGACTTAAAGAAATAGTGGGTCCCACAGCTAACATAAAAAAATTCTGTTAACACACACACACACATATATATATATATAAAACAAATCATAAACATTACATTTATCATCCAAGGCAGGAAAGGAAATTATGGTGAAGTTTGTCCTTTCTGCTCTTCCCACTTATTCAATGCAATGCTTCAAATTACCTAAAAAGAACTGTGAGGATTTGTCATGTTCTTTTTCCAATTTTTGGTGGAGTGGTTTGGAGAAGTCACATACAATCAAATGGAAAAGTTAGGATAATTTATGCAAATCTAAACAAGGTGGTGAGCTCGCCTTTAAAAATATTGAGGCTTTCAATCTTGCTCTCCTTGCTAAGATTGTTTGGCGGATGGAAGTTAAGGACGGGTCTCTTCTTTATAAATCTTTCAAACACAAATATTTCAAATTCTGTAATTTTGTGGATGCACCTCATCGTCCAACTGCTTCATAGATTTGAAAGAGTATTGTGTTTTCTAAGGAAGTTATTAAGTAAATTATGGGGTGACGTATTAGGGATGGTTCTTCTGTTCACTGTTAGCATGATAATTGGCTCCCCGATCCTATTAATTGCTCTGTGCTTTCTCGGACTCAAGGGGCTCTTTTCTCTTCAGTGGCTGACTTAATTCTTCTTGATTTGCATCAATGGAACTCTGCCTTAATTGGTAGGTTCTTCAACTAAAGAGATCGTAACTTGATTTTGCAAATTTCGTTGAGTGTTTCGGGTGGCTTGGACTGTAAGGTTTGGGGTGTTTCTAAAAATGGGTACTTTTCAGTTAAGAGTGCCTATTATGTTGCGGAATCACTTCTTTACAAAGCCGTTTCTTTTCCTTCGGCGGAAGAGTGTAACTTTGATGTTAATCGAAGTTCAATGTGGAAACAAGTAGGGCGACTCCGTGCGCATAGGAAGATTCAATTGTTCTTATGGCAGTCTCTTCATGACCGTGTTCCTGTTAATGAACTTATTTGACAGAGACGGGTAGTGGAAAATCCGTTATGTCCTATTTGTGAGTCCAATGTTGAAACCGTAGACCATCTCCTTTGTGTCTGCCTGTTTGCGTGTCTAGTGTGGCAACTGTGTCCCTTGCGTGTTGATTTCACTGGGGTGCAGCCGTCCTTTTGGCCATTGAGATGGGTATCTCTTTGTGAGAAGTGGTCCGCCTCTACTGCCTTGGATGAGTGTATGGGTTTGGTGGCTTCTGTCTGCTGGGCTATATGGAAATGCTGCAATGATTTAGTTTTTAAGAAAAAAATGGTGGGATCCTTATGAAGCTAGTTTACTGGCCTTTCATGCTTTCTAGGAATTTCAGGAGCAGGCTCGTCTTTCCCGTCGGATGTTCATGTCGCCTTTGCCAATGTTTTCTCCAACTGTTGTGCGATGGTTAGTGCTGGATTTCGAATGCTTTAAGCTTAATTTTGATGTTTCGTTCTGTCTTTCTGATCGTGTGTGTGGTGGAGGAATGATTTCGTGACCACATCGGTCGTCCTGTTAAGGTTGCCTCCATTTTCCTTGAACATGTGATTAGCCCTTCCATGGCAGAGCGGTTGGTTCTTCGTGAGGCTCTTGTTTAGCTTCGGTGGTGGGGATATCACAAGGTGGTTGTCGAAGGTGATTGCAGGCCTGTTATGCGATTGGAAGCTGCTAATGATACACTTAATGTAATTTTTAATGATATTCTCTCTTTGCTTCAGGACTGTGAGGGTTCGTCCTTAGCTTGGACTCCTTGTGGGGGTAATATGGTTGCTCACTTGTTAAGCAAACATGCTTTTAAAGCCGCATGTGGCGATTTAGAGTGGAGTATATGGCCTTCATAGTTGTTAAATACTCTTCTTTCCAATTATGTATTTCCTTCTTTTTTATTTTTAGTTCCTCTGTTTGGTGTTAAAATATATATATATAAATAAAAATTACTATCACGTTCCACGTATATTATAAGCCAATCATACAAATTAATTAAAATATAATTATTCAGTACATTTACTAAGACCAATTTCAATTTCATGTAAGTTTTTTTTTTCATTGCTTCTTTCATTTGTTAAAAGAATTGGTTCTAAAAACTATTTTTAAAATATTATTTTCTTTATTTTGATCAGAAAAATATTTTAAATTTTGTTTTCCTAGCAAGTAATTGTGAAATTTCAGATTTGGACCAAAGGCGGGCCCACACCACAGCGCCTGTCATCAATCGCCGGTGCACTCTAGAATCTCGTAGATGATATGAATATGATTCAGCTTATAACATACATATATATATTACACATTTGTATTTCTCTCCCTCTCTCTTTCTCTCTCTAGGAAGCTCTAGAAAGTGAGCGCCACTTCGCCAGCACCTTGCATTTTAATTTCTCAGCACCGAAGAGGAAATCTCGCAGTTTCTTATCTGCTTATAGCTCGCCTCTCTCTCCTATTACTCTCTCAACAGTAAGTTTTCTTTCCCTCTCTACATTTTTCTTCTTTCAATGTGTTGTTTTCGCTCTCTCTCTCTCTCTCTCTCTCTCTCTCTCTCTCTGTCTTTTCTTCATTTGTGTAATTGTGTGCCTCTAAATTGAATAATTCCTTTACCGATTGATCATATAACTTGTCTATCATACGATTAGTGTTCTCTTAACCTTTCTTGTCATCTTAATTGATACCCATTTATTTAATCATCGTCGCTAAATTGGGTATATCATTTCTCGCTTATTTATTTAGTATGAGAATGTCTTTTCAACAATTATTAGCTTCTTTCTCTTTTTCTTTTTCTTTATTAACATTTTTCACTTTGAAATTGTTATCTTTCTTTATTACATTATAGTTTTTACTATGTTAATCTAATTTTCCATGTCTAGAGGTGGGTTCGTGTGGTTTGATGGATTATTATTGTTAATCTTGTGAAATATTGGTTTTTTTTTTTTTTTCGGTTTTAATCATATTGTTTATTAGTCTGTTAAATAGCTTTTGTTGAGGTCCAATTTGGGTTAATTTATAATGAATGGTTTTGGGTTCAATTATTTAGGAAGCATAGGTTAGATTAAAATTTAAAAACTAAGTTCAGATTTCAACCGGATGTATAGATTAATTTGAGATTTTATATGTGTGGATTTCAAATGATAATGTGAGAGATCTTATTTGCAATCCAATTCTAACAAGATTCTAGTTGCAGAATGATCTTTAAAAAATATGTGTCTTTCGCACCATAGCACTCCCTTTAGCCTCCCGAGTTAACTCTGATTGTCAATATTATTTAAAATCTAAATACCTTCATTTCAAATGCCTTGATTCATCCAATTGCCGTAAGAGCTCAAACTCGTCTTATAGTGATAAATGCATTCTTCTGAATTTATATACTAATAGGATGGTCCTTATCAATAAAAAAGAGGCTTTGTTGATGGTTTCTTGGTAAATAGGGTAATTTACTGTATAATGCATTAATAACACTAGCACATATTTTGAAGAATTCTGGACTTAATTTCACCATTTATTCTGTTCCCGTATCAGCCCAGATATGTAGCACATAGGTCTTACATTCTAATGTGAATTTATTGACAAGGAACATATATATCTTGTAGGTGTTTGTTTTAATACCTGTATGAAACATACTTCAGTGGATTCTTGATATTTTAATGTGAATTTATTGACAAGGAACATTTATATCTTGCCGATGTTTGTTTTAATATCTGTATGGAACATACTTCTATAAATTCTTGACTGTAAGAACACATTAGAGTTTGGAAATGTTATTCTGTTAGAAGGTTGTACATTATTGGATTTAATTGAATAATTGTGTTAGGCTCAAGAACCAATCCTCACTAAGGATCTGCAGTTGTCTATCAGCTCTTTCCCTTTTCAAATATATGTGGTTTTGCTTTTGTAGTTCTTTAAGGTAATACCCCGTGATCCTTAATTGGAACACTACAGAACTTAGAAGAATGGTAAGAAGAAATAAGAAACAATCCATAGAAGGTGTTTTACTTAATAAATACCATAAGGATGCTGCTTAGTGTGAAAGTAACATAGCTGCAACCAACCTTTATATTCGTAGAGCTCTGTTTTACATCAGACGGTGTGAATCGAACGAGCTTTAATGTTAGGTATTGCTAGTTTCTAGCTTCCAGAAACTTGTTCTGATTTAATGTTTTCTGTTCCCCAATATCTAAAGAATAATAGTAAGAACAAGAGAAGTAAATGACAAGCCTCTTCTAGCCTTGGCATTTATGCCACAACTTTTGGGGCATAAAACAATAACAATACAATCTTTGACTCAAGCACCTTCATGCTATCTTCCGACAGGCTTGCACCCTCTCAACCATATTACCTGCTTTTCAATTACTGGGTCTCATGTACTTCCTATTTGGAGCATGGATGAGAGTTTATTTTTTCTGCTGTTAGCTCCATATGCATGTCTTTTTTTTCGTTTATTGAAGCATTTCAAGGTAGGCATTGCACGGAGTATGTGCTCAATAAAGGACATAATGTTGACATGATTTTATTTTATAGGTCAAATGAATTATTTTACTTGTTGAACAAGATAGCCATGGGTTTTGCGTCCAGAGTCGGTATGTTTTGTTGCATGCTACTATTCCTGGCAGTAGATTCGTTCTCATCTTTGGAATCATTTTCATCTTTCTTGCTTAATCCTTTGTTTGGAGATACATTTAAACTATCTGAAATTAATGAGCTGTACTACTTTGTATGACTCTCAATGATGGTAATTAAATGATCTGTTCAGACTTTAAGGATTTGAGGTTTATTTATTTATTTTTGGATTATTTCTTTAATAGTCAATTCTATTGATCATGGATATGACATCCTCAATCATAATACAAGAAAATTTTATTATATAATATCAGAACTCAGGAGTAGTTATGGTTAAGAGAGGGCCTTGTCTTTGTCCCCATTAGTGTCAACTCCTGGCCAGGTTTGCATCACTGTGATATTGTTTTCTCATGGTTTTGCTATTGTTTAAATGAAGTCATAGGTAAATGATTCCCAGCTAAGAATGCCATTGCCATATATACTCTGTTGTAGCTAGTACTTTGTGGTTTATTATTATTTTATTACTGGTTTGTGAATATAACTAGAAGTTCAGTAGATCTATTGAAGCCTGTTTCCTTAAGTTTTCTGAGAATTGTTTTCTCCTCTCAGAGAACAAAGAACGATTTAAGAGCTGGTTTTGTTGATAGTTTTCTGAAAGCTGTTGTATAAAAATAGAGTTAAAAAAAGCCTGTTTCCTTAAGTTTTATGAGAATTTTTTTCTCATCTCAGAGAAAGAAGAATGATTTTAGAGCTGGTTTTGTTGATAGTTTTCTGAAAGCTTTTGTATAAAAATAGAGTTAAAAATACTCGATTCCAAATAACACTCTGTTAAGTTATCTGAATTTTCTGTTTCCAGAGTTTTTGAAATTAGAGAATTGAACTAATAAGTTCCTGGAATGGTGTGAATTGAACAACCCTACTTTAATCCCCAGCAACTTTATGTTTGTATAATTAGTTCTTTATTGTTCAGTGGTACAAAGTTATTCAAGACAAGAAACCGTGAAGACTTCTGAAGAAATGAGAATTTTTTGTAACTAATGAATATTAGAATATGTGCTTTCAAATATGTCCTTTACCCTTATTGTACTGGTTCCTAATGAATTGGACATATTTATAGTTTCTCTCTTTGAACTTTAATTTTGGACGTGTTGGGTATCTTTTTCTTATGAGATAACTGTTCAAATTGCAGGAAATGACTGAACCAGCATACACTGTGGCATCTGATAGTGAAACCACTGGGGAGGAGAAATCTTCCTCTGCTTTTCCAGAAATTGCAATTGGGATAGACATTGGCACTTCTCAATGTAGCGTTGCAGTATGGAACGGCTCCCAGGTGGAGCTCCTTAGAAACACTAGGAACCAGAAGATAATGCGGTCGTATGTCACCTTCAAAGACGAAATTCCTTCAGGTGGAGTAAGCAATCAACTGTCTCATGAATATGAAATGTTATCTGGAGCTGCAATCTTCAATATGAAACGTCTGATCGGTAGAGTTGACACTGACCCAGTTGTTCATGCAAGCAAAGGCCTTCCTTTTTTGGTACAAACTCTGGATATTGGTGTCCGGCCATATATTGCAGCCTTGGTAAATAATGTGTGGAGATCCACCACCCCTGAAGAAGTTCTTGCAATATTTCTGGTTGAGTTAAGAGCTATGGCAGAAATCCAACTAAAGCGCCCTGTAAGAAACGTTGTTTACACTATTCCAGTTTCATTTAGCCGGTTCCAACTAACCCGGATTGAGCGAGCCAGTGCCATGGCTGGCCTTCATGTCCTAAGATTGATGCCTGAACCTACAGCAGTAGCTCTGTTATATGCACAGCAGCAGCAGCAACGGACCTTTCATGAGAATATGGGCAGTGAAAGTGAAAAGATTGCTCTTATCTTCAATATGGGTGCGGGATATTGTGATGTGGCATTAACTGCCACAGCAGGAGGAGTTTCACAGATTAAAGCCTTATCAGGAAGTTCCATTGGAGGAGAAGACATGCTTCAGAATATGATGCAGTATCTCTTGCCAAATATGGACAGTCTTTTCTCAAGCCATGGAATAAATGAGATCAAGTCGATGGGCCTGCTTCGAGTCGCAACCCAGGATGCAATTCACAAGCTTTCCTTTCAAACCAGTGTTCAAGTTGATGTTGACTTGAAAAACGGGTTGAAAATATCCAAGCTTGTTAATCGGGAGGAATTTGAAGAAGTAAACTGGAAAGTGTTTGAGAAATGCGAGTCTCTCATAGTCCAGTGCTTGCACGATGCTAAGGTGGAAGCGGAGGATGTGAACGATGTCATAACTGTAGGTGGCTGTTCAAATATTCCAAAAATTAGGAATCTTGTTATGGGTATATGTAAAAGAGAAATTTATAAGGGGATGGATCCATTGGAGGCTGCAGTTTGTGGGGCAGCACTGGAAGGAGCAGTAGCTTCTGGAATCAGTGATCCTTTTGGGAATTTGGACTTGTTAACCATTCAAGCTACTCCTCTGAGCATAGGGATTCGAGCGGATGGAAACAACTTTGTGCCCATCATACATCGAAACACAACAATGCCTGCACGGAAAGAGCTGACCTTCACAACCGTTCAAGACAACCAAGCTGAAGCGCTAATTGTTGTGTATGAAGGTGATGAAGAGTCGGTGGAAAAGAACCACCTCCTCGGCTATTTTAAGATCAGAGGGATTCCTTCAGCTCCTAAAGGGGTTCCAGCAATTAGCATGTGCATGGACATCGATGCTTCAAATGTGCTAAGAGTTCTGGCTGGTGTCATAATGCCTGGGACACAACATCCGGTGACTCCTTCTATGGAAGTTAGGATGCCAACGGTTGATGATGGCCACGGTTGGTGTGCTGAAGCTCTTCTCCGAACTTATGGATCTACTTTAGACTTGATTACAGTGCAGAAGAATATTCAGAAGTGAGGTAAATAGCCAGCCCCCCGTGTGTTTTATGCAAAAATGATAGTTCTGTGTTGGAATACTGAATGTTCATCTTTTTTGTAAAATACAGTTCTTGTTTGGTATCTTTAGGTGCTAAGTTTGTTAATGTTGTATTCTAGTTGTACTACTCTAATGTTGTACTTTAAGGCTGTGTTTGATAGACAAATAAGTTACCAAATAAATAATACGAAGGATGTTTGTATGATGTTTTTCATCGGCAGTTTGACACTGTTTCTTCTCTATAATATAGTTCAGATGAAATGGATTCTATTTAGATCAATGTTCAGGAGGGAAGAATGAGCCTAGTGTGTATGCTCAGAGCTTTTTTTGCACAATTTATGCCTTTGGTATTGCAGGGTAGCTTTGGCATGTCATGCTAATAGGATTCTGGCTGCAGTGGATTAGAAATTGTGCAATTTACAGGATTTAGGTTTATTTGGTGGTGGAACCTTACATTCATAGTGATTGAATTTGTAGAATGTTTGCAGAAAAATAATAATAATAATAATTAAGAAAAAAATTGTATCATGAATTAATGGTGTTGCCTATATAATGGTGAGAAAGCAACGACAGCTGTGATCTAGTTATGAGAAATAACTCTTTATGTTTTATATTTCGCCTTTGCTGCTGAACATGAACATTTTGATTGCAGCTTCTTAAAAGGAGTATGTTGATACTATCACCAGCAATTAGTATACTTTTTCTGGTTTTGGTTGTATTTTGTTTTATCCTATCGAGTTGAGTTGAAAGTTGAGGAAGGTTTCTGGCTTTGGTGTAATTAACTTTTAACTTGTGTTTAATAGTCAATTTTTTTTAGGATAAAGTGCACTAAACCCCCCTGAAGTATGACCCAATTGCAATAAACCCTCCTGAAGTAAGTAAAACCCCCTTAAAGTATGATTGTGTTGCACACAAAGACAATCCGTCTGCAGCCGTTAACGGAAAAAGGAAATGACCGTTTAGCCCTTACTTTGAAGAGCGTTGTTTTAGTTCTATTTTGCTATTGATGGCTATATAATATGAGAACCAATAAAGATGCGACACCTAACCTTATCAATAACATCACCCAGCAACATTTGATGGCGCCAAACATATTCCATCGCAATCAACAATCTGTTTTCGTTGCTCTCAGTTCTTGGTTCTCAATTGTATTTGACAAAATTATGGCCATTGAATGTGAATTAGATATACAAATATATATATACATATACATCCCTCATATCTCTCCAACGACCTTCACCGTCCCGTCCATGGCTACCACATCCACGATCTATCCATGGTTATCGCCACCACTACTCTCTCTCCCCCACAAAGAATATTCTTCTCTCATAACCACTTCCACTGCCATGGCCGCCACCATACCCGCCCTATCTCCAACCCACCTCTCTCTTTTTTTTTTCTCTCTCGTTGTCCTCCAACTCAAGCGACGACAAGAACTTCGAAGAGGTGGAAAATCATTCAACGGAGATTTGCTTTTGTTGACAAGATCGATCCAAAGAACTCCAATCCGACGCGAAAGATGTGGCAACGACCGTTGAAGCCTAGGGTTTGAAAACCCATTTCCTGTAAAAGTAACTTCACCATATGATCAGGGAATTTTTTTTAAAAAAAATCCACCATATGTGTCTGTAATTCTGTTCCTTCAATTATCATCATCTTTTATAACAAATTCACATCTTGATTCAAATCAACCCTAAGATCATTGTTCTTTCGCCGAACTCAAGACCGATTCCTTGCTTGCAATTTATAGGTTCGTTCTCAGCGTATGATGTTGTCAATGGAGAAAGACAACGTCCATTACCAACATCACCGTCAATGGAGAGAGACTCATCACGCACCAAATCCGATCAACCCCAATTTATAACCTGTTTTAAATTGGAACCCATTTTGATATTCTGATGGTATTACTCTACACTTTTCCCTCATCGATCTCTTCCAATTTCTTGTTGGCGCCAAGAAATACTAGTGAGGAGGTGGAGAGACAGAGGAGGGGCGGTGATGGCCGGATGGACATGGCTACCACCAGTGGATAAAGAGAGAGAGAGTCACCTGGATATGAAAATTTGAGTGGGAATTGCTGAAAATCGATGCTGAACAAGAGGAATTGCTGAGGCTGAAAGTTAGAGCTTCGAATTTAGGGATTCTCTGGTACGAATGGGATATATATATATATATATATAGTCTTTAACTGTTATAAGGGTATATATGATATTTTATATTTTAACCAAGCCACATGGGTCATGTGTCTCCTCTTACTGTTAATTCTTAGCCGGCCAACTAACGTAGATCCAAATTTTGCAACAAACTAAATAGTTTAGGGGGTTAAGTGTATTTCTTAAAGTTTAGGGGGGGTTTTTTGAGAAAGAGAAGAAAGTTCAGGGGAGTTTAATGCACTTTACCATTTTTTTTATTGGGTCAGTTGGGAGGAAAATGAGGTGTCTCACCCGGGTGAAAAATTAGATAAAGTAGATTTATATGATTTGGATATATTCAAAGATTAAAAGATGTACCAGTTAAACGAGGAAAAATAGTTATAATAGAAGATAAGAGACAGCTGGTCAATCAAAAATAACATGGGATGAAATTATTAAAAATAACTTTAAAAAAGTTAAATATATTATGTGAAATTCATGTGGCTGACTCCAAGGATGGAGCCAGCTTAGTGTCTGGGCCATGTTGGCCCATTAAAATTTATATATATATAACATATAATATATATGTTATTACGTAGCGCCCCTTGAAATTACTTTTTTCCTAAAAAGCCCCCCTTGCCTAGGCTGGCTCACTAATTTATATATATTTATCGGAAGACTCTCATGCGGTCCAAAATAACTAATTTATATATATTTATCGGAAGACTCTCATGCGGTCCAAAATAACGGACTTTTTAACAGACAAAAACTCAATTAGTCAGTTACACTTTATTACTTTATCAGACTTAACCATAGTTAATAATGTTAACTTTAATAGTCAATTTATTCTATATAGTTAATAATGTTAACTTTAATAGTCAATTTATTCTATATAGTTAATAATGTTAACTTTAATAGTCAATTTATTCTATAACACGGGTCAAATTCGTTGCTAATTCAAGACGATTTTTTATAGTTTTGATATCGACACATGAATCGATTTTTACGGCATCTACCATTTTCTAGACCAGTGAAAAGGAAGGAAATGAGTGAGAAGAAACAAATATATAGAGTATAGGCAGGCAACAATGTATTTTGTATCTGAATATACATTTAATAAGAGCCCTTCTTCATCCCATTTCTTTTGTTTTCCCCACAATAAAACTACACACGGGAAACATAATCACGAGACTCAAATAGTATGGAACCTGTTCAAATTTTGCTTCTTTTTTTTTTTTTTTAACAATCAAAAACTTTACTTTACCCTCCCATTAATTTTATAATTACAATATAACATCACGAAGACCTTTAGACAACATAAAATCACGTATTTATTTTTATATGTAGAAAAAATAATATTTTTAATTTATATATATTTTCAAATTTATGTATTTTTTGTTTTTTAATTCTCATATGTTGGAGAATGAATATGGTAGTTGTGTTATAATTATAGTGGTGAAGATGGTAGCTGTGATGATTGAAATTACAAGAAAGATGGTAAAAATTAAGAAGGAAAGAGATTGAATAAAAGTATCTAATTTGTAAAGTATTACATAATGCCCCCTAACATTAAATTTTAGCTCCGCTTTAACTATGATTAAGGAAAGAATAATGATGGTGGCTCTGTGGTGGGGTTGGAAGAAGATGATAATATGCCATTTAACCCTTGTATACAAAAGAAGTGACAGCCTTAAAATTTAAATAAGAACTTGTGTGTATCTGGTGACTCCATACTATCTTAGTTGCTTTGCTTAACCATTTAGGCCCATATTCTCAATCCATTTATGGCCCATCAATCTTGGTTTTGTCCCCAAAATTTTTAACCTGCACTATTCCACATATTTTCACATTTAGGATTTATATATACAACATATACCACTGTCAAGAAACAACTCTTTTGCTCCGAGCTCCGAAACGAAATGTTCCAGATGTTTTACATCCTCCGACCACTCGGGAAATTGCAATAATAAAATATGGAAAAGGGAATCTAGTAAAAAAATTTATGTATTCGACTCCAATTTCGTTTGTTTCGATAAATATATCAATCAATTCTGATTTCCTCTAATTGGATCATTAGCTAAATATATCAAGAATTTTTTTTGGACCATCATCTGGAGGGAACAAAATACAGAATCCACTAGTTTTTCTCGAGGCCCATCAATGAAACTTTTGACTTTATCCACATCCATGCAACTGGTACAATAAACAATACTCCCTCCGGCTCTTATTAATAGTCTATTTTTTTTCTTTTACATATCCCAAATAAGTTATCCTCTTTGAAAAGTCAAATATCTTTTCTTTATATTTTCATCATTATTTATCTTTTTAAAAAATTTTACACTTTATAATTATATATTTAAATTAAAAATGACAATTTGTTAATTTTAAAAGGGGACAATGCATTAATTACATGTTCCTTTAAAAAGTTATAAAACCAAAAATGAACAACTAATAGGAAAATATAGTACTATATTGAACATGTTAACTCCATGAGCGGAAAGATTTGAATCTTCTACCATCCACTTTCGGAGTAGAAGAAATATAACTAAGCCATATTAGTCTTGGCGATGAGTGAACATTATAATCGTATAGGGAAATGCTTTGAAGGTCGAATACTTTGGCCTATTATGTGTCAAGCTGGTCATTAAAAGCCTGGATGGATTCGGTCTAAGAATTCGGCCTGAATGGCAGAACTCAGCAGTTTTAAATCAGAAATTACACAGCATTGATATGATGGATTTCAGCAATTGTAAGAAAAGGGTAAGGGTACCCTACATTTCTGATCATGAATTGTCCAAAGGGTACCCTACTGGTCTTAAGTTCCTCTTGGACGGGTCCTAATTGTAAAGGAATCTTCCAGTACCACTCAAATCCATAAGTTCAGAAGTGTAAGCATTACAAACCACCACTAAATCTATCACTTCCCCAGTCTCTATGTTCGATCCTCTCAACATCTCGGAAAAGAATATTTGAAATAGACCCTTTAAACCCACAACCAACAAAACACGTACTCCAAATCTTAATCAATAATAGTACCAACACTGTCTTTTGTCCACTTTGAAACTCAAATCATAAACTAGGAAACAAACCAATATCAGAAAGAATTGAATCAAACAATTGCTTCCAAACAAAGTTCATGTCAACGTCAGCCCTAAACACCAGAACAAGCCTTGATCCCTTGACGACACATGGCTACCAAACAAATATTATCATATAATATATATATTAATATATGACTAGCTGTATAGTTTATGTTTTTACATATATAATAACTGTAGTTGTACATATATCTATGTGCGATGTTTAAATTTCCAAGCCTCTCCCACACGTACACACTCTCACTTCCTAAGCTTGGAGAATCTCCATTTTGACTTTCTCAAACAACAATACACGACACATATACTTGCCCTGGCATCGTTGAAAACACCACATACTGAAAGAAAATGGACCGACCAACAAATACAAAAACAAGCTTACAAAATTGAAGTTTTTCAAACTTTGGTCTATTTTTTTATTATTATTATTATTATTATTATTATTATATTATATATATATATATTATATATAGTAAGGTAACAAAGTCCAACCAAGTAGGTCTAATAATCTACCAACCTACCCCAAACTCAAATTTTCACATGAATTAAAAATTACAATATAAGTTAATATTTGATTCAAACAGATACATAGCTTTTTGATGATTTGGTATATGATTTCCAATGCCATGTTCACCGTCTCGACCACGCTATCTTGTTCCCATGCATTGCTATTCCAGTGCTCAAAATCAAACATCTCGCACACTAATTCACATCCCACTTAGCACGTTGTCTCTTCTTTTTTTTCATTTTTTTTTTCTTTCTTCATTTAACGCACCATATTAATTGACTTTGAAAAAAAAAAAGATAATGACACTAATATAAAGAAGGCATTGGGTTTGAGAAATTAAAAGGTCGATTATTAGTAGCAGTGTCACACTATGGTCAATATAGGTAATATTATGTACTGCTGGATGATCAAAACCGTTGAGAGATTGACATGTGGCGGCGCCTCATGAGATGGGGAGAGACGATGGAGATGAGGCCACCGAGCGGGGGTCGCATCTTTGACCTGTAGGTCATCTCATCGTACGGCCATCTGTAGAATTTCAGAAACGGGACGAACGAGTCCCTGGATTTGTCGGCGCTGCTGACGTGGCACTCCCTCTTGAAGAACACCGCCGGAGATCGGAGGAATGAGGGTCTTGGAGTCCTCGGAGGGTTGATGTTTGTGAAGTCCATCTTTTGGGTTTTCTCCGGGAGTGGGGTTGATGGGAAGAAACCTTTTCGCAGGCTGCCGTTGAGGTTGCCACGTGGCGTCCTGGCCACGGGTGATGCGAAGGAGAAGGAACGGGCATTGAGAGGGGAGACGAGGGCGGGGCCCATATTAGATTGGGCGATGCTAGTGGGGCCTACTTTGGATCCTGACGTGTCAGTCAAGGTGAGGTACCAGGGCTTGAGTGAGTCAAAGTGATGCGAGACGGTGAATGAGAAACGAGAGGATGAGCACGACCCAATCTTGGCCGTTGATGGTACTGACGAGGGGTCGAATCGGAGGGATGAGGCTCGTGGATAGGATGTGAAGTCGTTGAACTCCAATGACTCTTCGAAATCCAACGATGATACCACCGTAGTCACCGGTGATAGCTCCACAAATGGCCGAACTCCCTGTAGTATATAATAAATCACATTAAATTATATGATAGTGTTTATGTAATTTTCTTTATTCAGCTGTAATGAAAAAATAAGAACGTAAAAACTTATTTCTACATGTCAATTTAGTTTTTTTTTTTTTTTGAAAAAATTTATAATTTCGTTTATGGGAGGAAGGAAAAATGAAGAATTTTTGTCTCACTAAATTCTCAACTACATAGAGATTTTCACGAATTTATTAAAATTAACTAAAATTTTTAATCCCTAGTTATCTTCTTGCATTCAAAAATAGGAGTCACTTTCAAGTTTTCATAAGAAAAACAAAGAAAAAAATGTGTTATATTCAAACCAAAAGTAGCGGTAAAATGTGCTGGCCTCCTATTATGCTTTAAAAATATTAATGTAAAACACAATTGGATTTTATATGAATGGAAACAAAAAAAATTGGGTACAAGGTCAATTAAATTGACTCAGTTTAATAAAGGATTACTTTAACGGTTGTTTGTGATCTAATCTAGGCATGTGGGCACCAATTCTTTTGATGACTAAAAAGGACATGTGCCCACCAGATCAATCACCGGAAATTGCGGGGTTAAACTATAGAAACGATACCAGAAACGATAGTTGACAAAGGAAAAGTACTAAAACGGGCAAAATTGGACAAAATAAATTGAAATGAATGTACAGTGCAGTCTACCTTCCAAAGATAAGAAAAGAGAGAGGGAGGGTCTATGATAAAAGCCTTGTGTAGGCGGCCTGGGTAGTACTCTGCTGTGATTTTCAGTGTGGCCAGCAATATGTTCATGAAAGCTGATGCTGATCTGAAAAAGCCTGCAATTTCGCGCCATTCATTAATATAGTCAAACACCCCATTATTAATCCATACAATAAAACTTGAATATCACTAGGTCTGTTTTGCCAGACCTTTTTAACAAGGACAAGAGAGAGAATCTTATGAGAGGTTCCACCCACATGAACATGGGAACCATACAAGTCTTAATCCATACTCATATTCAACTTTTTTTCTTTTTTTTTTTTTTTTTTTTTTCTAAATAAAAACTCACACACATAAATTACAGTCGTACTCAAACCCCCTCCCTCTCTAGTACTTGAGAGAGCATGACCAATACATTTGTGCGCAATTGATCAATTTTAGTATTGTTAGTAGTATAACAATGACAAATAATTCAAATTAGAATTATAATTATAGGAATATTGGCAGTAGGAAAAAAAGAAAAGAATTTTCTTTAGGTTACGGAACTCGGATAATGACTGGTTATAGCCCTGCAGCGGTACAAGCCGACCATTTTTACAACCTCAACCACGAGGTCCACCACACGTTGCTGATAAACAGTCAGAACCTTGCCGGCTTTGCAACATATGTATACACATATACATGCGCAATCACGTATATATACACATGCCAAATCACTATCACACTTTATTTATTATGTGTTACTTTAGGTGATTTTCACTATCACACTTTATTTATTTTGTGTTACTTTAGGTGATTACACATTAATTAAGTCGTTAGGAGTGCGAACTTTGGAAATTAAAGCGAGAAATATCAAGCGTGTTGGGGGATTTCAGACCATGTCGGCGGACCCCACCAGAATACAGATGGAATGTGCATTTATTACTACTGCCCAACCAGTTGTGGGGGTGAGGAGTCGAAATGACTAATATACCACTATAAATTCAAATTTTACTTTACAACGTGTACACAAAGGACAATGCAGTCATTATTGGAGAATCAGCAACATACTTGCATCAAAGAGAATCACAAATTGCTCAATGTTTCTGGGCATGCTTTGAATTGCAACCTCCAGTGTAAACACCAGCAAACGATTAAACCTAAAAAAATTTTAAAAAAATATTATCAGTAATCAAAATTATATATATATATATACACACACTCATACTGTCTATCGAACTTGATTTTTCAGAGATGACTCACAGTTTCTGCGAATGGAACTTCTGGTAGTCTTGCTTGATTCGAAAAATCTGTGAGAAATATACAAATTAAACACTGGAGTCATAAGTTTTCCTTTGCTTTTCCCCAGAGAAAGTAGGGAGAAAGTGAGAGAAAATTACCATTACCGGTCTGGATTCTTCGTCGTGACCGGCAACATAAGCTAGGCCTTCGGCGAGCTCGGCGGAGAACTCATCAGCAGTCAAATGCTCTGTACTCAAGACACATGAAAATGAGAGGCATCAGCTTTTCTTCTTTTTAGAAGAATTTAACTTTAATCATTACGATTCTTTGACGGCAAATTCAAAAACAAAAAATTTCCAAGAATAAAACAAAAGCAAAAGATTCCAGTGAAAAGCGAAAAAGAAAACTAAACAAATAATTTTTTTTTTTTTTTGGATCCAAAATTAAAAATCCACAACAGATTCAAAATATGAATTTATGAGAAAAGTAGAAGAAGTAGATTGTGATCTTACCAGTGTCGATACTCTCTCTCCAAGATAGACAAGCACGAAGTTGCTTTGTGGCCTTCTTCACACTATTGCCTTTTGCTTTGAGAAACCGTTCAACACAACCATAGTTGCAGAACTTCTCCTGCAAAGAAGAATCACACGTAATGTACGTATGTATATAACATTATATATATATATATATATATATATATATCTCAAATATCCTGTAGATTACTAGAATCTCAACAACCAAAAGCAAGAATACAGTAACAAAATCTAGATCTGAACAACTCAAATGTATACAGTACATACAGAAACACAAATAAACAGTACTGTGATGCATACACATACATATATATACAAATATATACCTGTTTGAGAGTGAGAGGGGCTTGTTTTCTGAGTAGCTCAAGTACGGCATCAACTCTCTCTTTCTCTTCATAGTTCTGACCTTTCTTTCCCATTCTCAAGACTCCGACAAACAAAGACACTGTGTATGGTGTAAATGCAATGTAATCTATCAAGGAAACACAGAGATACCAGACTTCTTCTTCACGCAACCATTTTAAAACTTGCTTTGCAATTACACGCAGTAGAGAGAGAAAGTGATTTAGATTTAGATTTAGATTTAGAGAGAGAGAGAGTGTGTGTGTGTGTGTGTGTGTGTGTGTGTGTGGATGAGAGTGGAAGTGTGTTGGAAGACTGGGAGATTAGAGCCCGTATTTATAGCGGTGACGGAAGCCGTTATGTTACCAGCTCACTCTCGAGTCCATGTCAATGAGTCATGACGGCCCGAAAGTGATTCGTAACGGAAAATGTTGGGCCCATTATTATTACTTTCCGTTTTTGCCCTTACCCTTTATTACTACATGCTATGAATCATTACAACTTTTTCTAGGCTCACACACTTTAGCCAAGAAAACAGTAGTAGTAATTTCTTCGAAAATAAATTTCGAAGTAACTAGCATAACACCTAGTTTCGTATCGAGCATATAATTGTTTCATTTCTTTTATTAAAAATATTAAGTCCAGTCCAAGTTTACAAAATTAATTATTAAATCGTATATAAAAATGACATCCTTTTCTTAATTAACTACATGAATTATCTGCTATTTGGCCTCGATTTTATTAAAATTTAAGACACGAATTTAACCTTTTGAACCATAGAACCATGCACAAATGCACAATACATAAAACAAGCATTCTCAATCATTACTTAACAATACATAAAACAAGCATTCTCAAAAGTATGAAATACCATTAAAAAAAATATCGAACACATTCACGAGTATTCAAAAGATATCAATATCGGACAGGTCACGAATATCCGTAATTCTAAAAATAAAAGGCGTCCTTGCAGTGTGGTTTCCTTGTGTATGAATATGAACAATGGGAAAGTGTGAGTTTGAGATTGTAGTTCATTTATAGGATGTTACTATTAAAAGTGATAGAAGGAGTCGGTTGTTTAAATTAATTATTAAATCGAATTATTTGCTATTTAACCTTGATTTTATCAAAATTCAAGAGAGGTACTTAACCTTTTAAACCAGAGTACAATGCACAATACATAAAACAAGCATTCTCAAGAATATTAAATTTGATTAAAAAAATATCAAACATATTCACGAATATTCAAAAAATATCAGTATTGGACAGGTCAAGAATATCCGTAATTCTGAAAATAAAAGGCGTCCTTGCAGTAGGTCTTCCAAATGTATGAATATGAACAGTGGGAAAGTAAGAGTTTGAGGTTGTAGTTCATTTATAGGATGTTACTATTAAAAGTGATGGAAGGAGTTGGTTGATTAAATTGGAGGGTACAGAGTAATGATGATGTAGAGAAAATGAGACTACAGTGAGTCCTGTGATATATGGGAATGTGTCCAAGAGAATTGAACCCGTGAACGGATTTTGTGGGATTTATAAACCTAAAATTATTAATGCTGCTGCTGTTCTTCTTCTATTCACAATATGTACTTTGACAGAATATAATGGGCCTTTTACCTAAGAGTTGGGTACATTTCCCATACACTTTTATTTCTCTTCCATGTCAATACAAACACTCTTCGTGTTGTTTACTTCATGTTCTTTAGCTTGCTTTGTGTCCTACAACACTATTTTATTGCGCCAAAAAAAAAACACTATTTTATTGGTTACATTTTTTAGCAGGTAAATTACCTCCTCTCCGGTCAATTGAGTGTGTAATATACCGATGGTCAATGTTGACTCTTTGTACCATTCTTTAAATTGAAAATATATTTGGTGTGCCGGTACACTATCAGAGCCGTTCATTTTTACGCGTGTTATGCACCGATAGTTTTGATGTGCCCAAGAAACTGAACACACCGGCTACCTATTCTTTCAAACTGGTGTGAAAATATTGCTCACACTATCTACTTGGACAGAATATGATGGGCCTTTTACCCAAGAGTTGGGTACATTTCCCATGCACTTTTATTTCTCTTCCATGTGAGAAAACACTTTTCCTGTTGTTTACTACATGTTCTTTTTAGCTTGCATTGTGTCCTTATAACACTATTTTATTGGCTACATTTTTTTAGTGAGGTAAATTACCTCCTCAATCTCTAGTCAATTGTGTGTAAATATAACAACCCATGTTTTGAATTTCACTAATGGTCAATGTTGACTCGATTAACAAATGTCTTTTAAATTGGTGTACCAATAGGAGAATATATATATTCGGTGTGTCTGTACGTGCTGTACACAAACGATTCTAATGTGTCTGGTGCACCGAATACTCCAAGTATTTACTCTTTTAAATTGGTGTGAAAACATTTTATCCAATTTATATTGTTAATTTCATTTATGATTAAAGACAGTTTACGTTGTGGTAAGTTTCTTAACCTACATTTATGCCTTTCAAATTCATCTGAAAAACACTTTGTCCAATACAAAAGACGATCACAAACTAATGAAAATTAGACGATGAAACTGCTGTGTGTTGAGGGTATAATTGTCTTTTCCAAATGATATTGATGATAAAGACCTTTATTCAATGAGGGAACCACCCATGCACTTTATATAACTAATTTTTATTATTTGTATAAAGTGATTGTTTTTAAAAATAAATATGTATTTTTATATTAAAAATCTAATTTTAATTCGGAATTTGATTTTAACTTTAAAATAATAATAATAATAATTTGGTCTCAAAGTGTTGCCATTCTAGATCTTTGGTTTGGTTTTGTTTTGGATATAAATCTTGCCTATCTTCAAGTGCCACAATTTTTTTTAATTTTTAATATTTTTCAAAAGGGCCACAAATTAAAACAACTATAAAAATTAAAAATCAATCGTTATGGCCTATTTAATGTTTTTCTTTCTTCTTATTTTTAATATATATTATTGAACATGCAAAGACTTCGAGGTTGACGGACAACATTTATATAAAAAATCACATAGTTCCATAAGTCAAAACCTTGATAATTGTCGTCCCCATTATCAATAAAAACACAGTGGCGAGTCCGTCCTCATTACGGCGGAGACCCCATTCATTTTTACACCTTTGCAAAGACCACAATGCCCCAAAAACATTCTACATTTCTAAACCTCTTTCTTTTCTTTTTTTTCTTTTTAATATTCATATTGCAACGGTAATATGAAATAGACAAAAGAGTTTGTGATCAGCATTTCTTCAATTTTTAAAAAAGGTTAAAGTCAAAATCAACCCCCACAAAAGCATATCGAATGTGAATCACAATTTTTTTTTTTTTTTTTGCCCTTAAAGAAAAAAAGAAACTACAGTGCTTTATATGATTACATAAACAACCTGTCATTTCAGGCATGTGTCTTGTAAAATAGAAGTCTCCAAATAAATCATAAGAAAAAGTGTCCTTGATGCCACATGCGTGTCTTGAGTGATAGCGAAAACTGAAATCTGGCCATCAGACAATCAACTAGTAAAATTTTCCCACCAAAATGTGATCAACATTCGGAATTTGTATAAATGTCGTTTAAGAAGTGAAAATTTTAAATATTGAAGTTTTTAACTAATAATTTATCCTATTTTAAGTAGCGTTTATTGTTTACAGTAATCAAACGCACTTAATTAGATAAACGTTGAATTGAGTTATCAAACAGCATCATATTCTCTGCTCATTAAAAAATTCTGATTTCGTATAAAGTATTCAGAATATTAAAAAAAAAATTCCAACATCCAATCTAAAAACAATTACTTTCTCTTAGAACAGCTGAGTTGCGATGACAACGATAAGCTCATCTCTTCTCTAATGTTAAAAAAAATGATTAAATTCACAGACCAAGGGAAGTGAGAAAAGATGATCACAAAAAAAAAAAAAAAAAAAAAAAAAAAAAAAAAAAAAAAGAAAAGTTCTCGTCGCCTAACCCTTATAAAAGTAATTTTGGGAGTTGGGTTAATGTGGTTAGACATGAGCAAAGCATAGTTTAGTCTGATGAAATTTGACTTCCCAAAGCCAAAATAAGTAAGCTTTATCGTTATAATTAAACTAATAGTAATATGTAAGTAGTGCTTTGTGTAAGATTTGTTTCACTTGCCTCATTCAAATAGGTGATAGATTCTCCCACCCCCCTCTCTCTGTCTCTCTCTCTCTCTCTCTCTCTCTGTCACACACACACACACACACATAGTGCATAGCTTTCTCTCTCTAAGCTAGCTTAATAAACATGTATTTGATTTTTGCCAACTATGTGTCAGATTGGCTGGTTGAGATGGGACGATGACTTTAAGTTACCTACCAAAAGAGACTTTGTGATATGATTCTGTTTCTCTCCCTCTAGATAATGTGTGTGTGTATATATATAATATCATTCCATGTGGCACAAGTGTCCCAAAGATTTTTTCAACCTTGTACCAACCTAAAATTCCTAATCCATACGTTTGATTTTAAATCTATATAGTGCTGCTGCTGCTGCTGCTCAATTACGCACCAACCCCTACCCCTAACCCCACACCCCCACAACATCTAAATATTCCATTATATCATGGTTGAATCATTACATTTCAAATTCAAATCACATAATATTGCTTACCTCTCTGGCTTGTACTCTCTCTCTCTCTCTCTATATATATATAATAGTTAGATACACATGTATCTAGATCCTATTCTATATAGATGATGCGACATGAGAACTAAAAAGGATAATGATAGTAAAGTAGGACCTCTTTGTTTGTGTTTGGCAACTAAACTGAGATAGTACAAGTAAAATCTTGTGTGTACCACTGTAGGGAAACCAGAATTACCCACATATAAATCTGGTTTTCCACTTTCTTGAGACATTTGTGATTTGTGAGCAAGGTATTGAATTTTGTCTTTCAAATTTAAATTTAAATTTAAATTCAATGTTGAAATGCAGACTTGAAAAAAAAAAAAAAAAAAAAAATTGATAAGTAAAATGTAGACTTGCAAAATTTATATGGAATGAAGTAATTAAAAATGATTTTTAAAAATTAAATCTAGAAGAAGACATTATATATAATAGAAAAAAAAAAAAAAAATTAAAATTATGTTGCCGACTTCGTCCGATATGAAATAAAGGCAAAGATACCGGTTCTACAAAGTAAATTGCATGCACATAGCAGGGGCACCTTTTTATTATGTTTAGTTGTTTAAGAAAGAATAAAATATCTAACAACATGCTTTGTTTCCTTCTTATGTTCTCTCTGAACTCTGGACTAGTAGTAGTAGCTATGTGAAGCACAAAGGGGTCTAGCCACCTGTAACAAAACCTCATAAGGTCCTAAAGCTACCTACAAAGTTTTTTAACTCTTGAAAACAAGTTTTGTTTTCTAGAAACTTCTTCCCATTTTAGGATTAAATTTCTCTGATAATGGATGAGCAGAGACTTAAAATTTTTAACTTTACAACTGTAATGTATAATATTATATCTCACTTTAATAGTTACTTAATATAAATTCAATGATTTTTTTTTTATTTTTTTATTTTTTAAGTTCAAGCAAGCGCGCACACACTCACAATATTGTTCTCAACTGGGTCGAATTTTTTTTATTCCTCCTTTAAAAATGAGATATCATACCATCTAAACCAATGTCTACCGGTACTCCAATGATATATTAAGGTGTCTGAGTAATGAAAAGTAGAAATTAAACGGACATATGAATGTGAATCAAATATTTGTAAAGCTATTGAAGTTCTGTTATCCGCCAATTGCTATCAAATATAAAGTAACAACCATCCAAGAGTAATTGTGATTCAGAAAAAAGTTATAGGCAATTGAGAATATAACATTCGAGTGCTTTCGAGTAATCATAATGGAATTTGAATGAAAACCTAAGGAGTCTTTTTAAAAAAAAATAAAATAAAATTCTTTAACACCCTTTTTGGGTGTAAAGTAGTAGTGCAAATTGTTGTAACAGACATAAGTAATAGCCCTTTCGTGAGGCAATGAATGGTGTGATTAGACTTAAAATAGTGCAAAATGTTGCAACAGTCACAAGCAATAACGTTTTCATGAGGCAATGAATAGTGTGATTAGACTTAAAATTTGACATAGCCAAGTGATTAGACCCCAACACATTGACAAGAGACTTAACGCACACGGTAGGATATTATTTTTTGGGAGAACTAAATGGGTACTATAGAATTGGATAAAATTTAATTTTGATTTTGAATTAAATTTTTTTCGGATTCAGATTCAAAGTGTTGACTCCATACTTCCAAACCCAATAGAATATTACTATGACAATCTTGTGTGTGGCGACATTGTTTGCGAGTGTGCAGATGACACCAGTAAGTTATCACATTGAACGAGCTAAAGTTGCACAATATGTGCATGGAACAAGTGTTATATGTAAATTCAACACCTTTCTATAACACAACACGTTTTAAAGCCGTACTGGTCATAAACCTATCAGAAATCCGAAATTAAGCCTGCTTAACATGGAGTAATACCAGAATCAGCGACCCCCTAAGAAGTTTTTTGTCTGAGAGAGTCAAAAGCGGACAATACTGTGTCTGGCTAAAGTGAGGGCCGTTATAATTACTTTTAGCGAGATGCCACAGTGTAACACTCATGACAATTATCACAATAAAAATTCAAATTTTCTTCAGCCTATGGTACCTCGTTGCACTAATTTGTGTTTTGCCATTGCTAGTCCTCAACAGCTTCAAATTTTGTCCATGAATGCCAGCAATAAGGGGTTCTTTGCACGTATTTGGAACCTAAAACCAAACCAAATGCAATAAAATCAGCTTTTTGCTATTCTAGTTGGTTAAATTTACATGACCTTTTTTTTTTTTTTTTTTTTTGGCTAATAAATTTAAACTCGATACAATTCGTAACAGAACCTAGTAGTTTTTACGTTGTGGATCAAAAGAATTAAACCCACATAAAATGCCTCATTATGTCCATAAGTTGGACCACATGAGGACGACTTATAGAAATAACGTACTAAAATATAATCTTTTTTGCAAAAGAACTGATGTTCCTCCAAATTTAATGGACTCCACTAGTGACAGCCCACGTACAAAGATTTTACAAAGTCCAAGTATTAGTCTTCTATTCAATGAGCTTAGTGGGCTTCTAAAGAAATGTTGGCCCATGAAAATTCGGTACATAACACAGAGATGGGCCTGATTCAAAACATTTTAGGCCAGCCTTCTGGGGAAATGCCATGCATTAAACAAGAAGGCTATAAATATTCTGATAGCATGGTTGGAATGCTTGCTTTCTAGTCTTAACAACAGTGAATGGTGATGTATGGCCGGTATATTACAAAAATTTAGTCTAGTACACGAGACTCTCGTTTCTCGTAATAACGGGACGTGCCTGAAGAGGGTAGTGCATCTCCGCACAAGGCATAGGTAAGAACAATTAATTTATTTATTTTTATTGGCAAGTATTAGTTCTAGAATATCTGAAAAGGGCGTAAAATATTTTCCGTCAATAATTAATTTGCCTATGTGTCAGCTTCATGTGTCAAATACATTTATAAAGAAAAATTAAGAAAGAACAACCAGGTGTTACATCCATCTGCTTTGACGCTGAAATTGAACCTTCTACTGTGAAACACGGCCATTAATATAAACTTTAAAAAGACTAATAGGCCCCAACACCACCTCTATTTTCTTCTGGAAGTGATGTTGATTTTTTCCAACTTCAATGTTTTGAATCATAGACAGAAAATTATTTCCTATAACATGCCTATTGCTGGAATTAGTCTAATCCAAGGCCGGCACCGTCAGTTAAGGACAACCAAACTAGATACTAATTCTTTAACAGCATTTCTTCCTTAGATTTACTACAAATAATTTCATAAAAGTAGCATATGCTTTAACCAAATATCAAATACTTAAAACCTAATTATCAATGAAAAAAAAACAAAAAAAACAGAAAACAAAATGTTCAATATATAATAATAAGATGACACCATGTAACACGCGGATGAATATATCAATTGATCGCTTTTTCATTCACATTATTTGGTCAATCTATTTTGTTAACTATATAGTGTCATTGCTCTAATTAAATAATTATTAGTGTGTGCAACTTTTTGACCATCCTGGTGCTAAATAATTCCCAAATCCCTGTACTGCCTTTTAGTTGTAATAATAAAAGAAGAAGAAAAACAGTAAAACTAGCTCTGCTGTGCTCCTAGTCCTTCCATTAAGTCTCTTTAATCAATCAAGAATGCTAATTTCCTGTTGCATTTCGATTTTGGGGAAAATTTGTATATTTTCATATGACCGAAAAATCATTAAATGCTTAGCTTAAAAAAGAAAAATAAGAAAAAGATCAGCTGTGCCAACTCATGGTCTCTTCTAAAAATGAGTGAAATTTCATAGTCAACAAACTACTAAAATGCGTAGAAACTGTAGCCATACAATTGGACGAATGGGAAATTAATACTTGTAAAAGACTCCAGAGAGGGATTGTTTTCTTAAGGAATGGCAAGTCAAAAAACTTAGAAAAATAGTGAATAGTGTGTATATATATATATATATATATATATATTAAATACGTGGCTTCAGTTATAAGGGTTGTTCGGGAGGAAAGGGTGTGAAGGGATTTGAGAAGTGTGAAAAGAACTGATGATTGGTAGGATGGCTCCTTCTACTACAAGGGAAAAAGGTGCGACAGAGACAGTGCACCCAACACAAAATATGATATGCATGATTCGCCTGCAACTTCAAGTGAATGTAAATAGAATACTGACCTTAACTTCACCCTTGTCTAAGCAAACCTAGATTTCTCTCTCTTACCTCTTTTCTCTATTTCCTCACCATTCTTTCACCTACCATGAGCCACACCCACTTCTCCAAATGGGGTGGCTGCAATCCTTCTTCACTCCATTGAAGAAGCTTTGGGTTCGGCTGCACTCAGCTCACAAGAAAAGTATGTCCTCTATCACTCAAATAACTCCATTTTCACTACATTCTCATCTCTACATACCAATTTTGCTATCATTAATCGCTCTTCTTTCATCTTCTCCTCCTGTTTTCTTCGCATTGTTTCAACATGAATTTTTTATATGTTCAAAACACATAAGAATATGCAAATCACCAACAGGCCAGTGGCCTGACGGTACCAGGCCCCTACTTTCCAAAGGGAGGTAAGGGGTTCGAATCTCGGTGGAGGCATGTGTGTGTGAGTACCAACTAGGAAAAAAAAAAAAAAAAAAGAATATGCAAATCAATCTTCTTATTGCACAAGCTTTCGCTTCACAGATTTCGAGTCTTTTGAATTGCTTTTCCTGAATATGCATTGTCAAATGACTAACTAGCTCTCTTTGAATGTAAACAACAAATTGGCATGACAGTTTTTCTCTCATTTTCTTTTCTCAGCGCCATTCTTTGTTTTTCAGATAATTTTTGTAGCATTTCTTCCTAATCTATACACCCTAGGTTCAACTAAACTGCATTTTGTTTTTCGTTCCTCAGGCAGAGGGATATACATCCTGTATGAAGATGTCAAGTCCTGCCCCTACGAAGATGTGCACGTGCTATGGTCGATACTAGTTGAGTCACATCCGGCTGCTCTTCCGTCACCAAAATGAAGGATCTGTCTTTTCCTGTCACCAAAATGAATGCTCTTACATGTGCACACAGAAACATGGCAGAAAAATGAGAGATTCTCACTCATGTACATAAGTTACGAAAACTGTCTTGCACTGGTATAAGTTTTGTATTTCTTTTTCTTTTTTGTTTCTTTACTTTCTTGTAAGTGTACTCCACCTTAGAATGTGCTTTTAAATTATTGAACTTCTGTTTGGCTCAATCCAGAAAACTCTTTCTTCAATCCCAGCATGTTTACAATCAGATTACAATAATTGGAAGAGCATTTCCTTAGGCTCCATGTGGTTCCTAGAAGGAATAAACTAAATTAAAAACGAGTGGATTAAAATTGGATTACCATTGAAACATTCTCTCTCTTCTATCTTTTCTCAAATAAATAGGAAAAAGAGAAAAAGGACTAGAAGGCTTATGGGTATTTCATTTCTGACTTATTTGTCAGTTTCTTGTTGCTTTGTCAGTTTCTAGCAGTTGAAGTGGCAGTTTGATTCTTCTTTTGCACAACCTTTAGGAGATAACATTGAGGTTGACCTATGAAAACTACAGAATGGATGGGACAACCTACACAATTTGCATGTAATACACACCATCCTTTTTAATAATTATAAACTTCTAAATTCTAAGCAAGCAGCTCAATGAGAATGTATCATGACTGTTCACGAAAGCAGTAAGGAAATCTGTAACACAAGTTTATTAAAAAGGAGATTGTCTCAGGAGTAGACTTTAGAGCATAAATCAACAGATATAACAAAACAATCAGTAAATAGGAAAGAAATAGACATCGATAAAGTAGATTGTAGGCATGGAAATAAAGGTATCATTTCAAAAATTTTGCAGGAGTAGAATTTAGAGCATTAATCAACAGATATAACAAAACAACCAGTAAATAGGAAAGAAATAAGCAAACAAGTCCCCAGGGAAAACCACAATCGCGTGAAATAACAATCCTACTCCACATAACACACAACTCATCTAAAAAAAAGTGAAAAAACTCATCTAAAACCTGATCTAAAAAAAGTGAAAAAAGAAAACATAGAAAAAAGTCTTTAGGACATAAATTTTAGTTATTCATGTGCTTTGACAAACTTGACCTTCTAAGAAGTTTAATGATATGACAAGCGATCGAATGTCGTTATCTATATAACTCAATAACTAATTCTGTAGTTGAATATTAATAATTTATGTAACAGATATGAAAAGTTGAAAACAGATCTTATTTACATCCTTTCTTTCTTCCTTCCTTTATTTCCTTTTCTTTTTCTTTTCTTTTTTTTTTTTTTTTGCTTTTTATTATGAGTCCTTGGCAAAGCCATCTTTAGTATCCGGTTAGGTTGGGTTATTCAAGTTTATGATCTTACAGCATCAGTCCATATAAGTAAGCTGATGCACCTCCATGAAGATTATTCAAATGAACTATTTTAGGAAAAGAGCATAAGCACAACGATGGGGAAATAATTGGCAGTATCAAAACAATTAGACGTAGGAAGAATATCACCAAGTTCAGTGGAACATGCACAATCACAATAATAATTAAAAATAATATTATTTTGATCAATGTATGTAACACCCGAATGATACAGGGCTTTTTGGCCAGTATTTCAGTTTGCCTTGGCGTGTTTACAGCCCATAAGAGGCAGCAAATACAGATGAGAAAAGATATATTATGTGCTTTCCTTACGCGTCCTGTTGCTCTCCAACAGTTATGAGGTCCTTTTAGGTGGCAGTTATACTGGATAGGTTTCATGAGGTTGGGAATTTATGATATCACACCAAATACCAATGAAGTGGCACAATCTGCTACTACATACCACCTTTTTAGCTGAACTTTGAAGGGGATGATTTAAAAATAGTTCTGTTGTCCATAATAGATCAGTACGAATATGCTTTGGGTTTTTCTAATTGTTGAAGATTGTCCTTCAATGTCAACATCTTTTTGATCATTTGTGGATAGGAGCAACCTTGCAAACGTTATTAGACCCTCAAATGCAACGAGTCCCCTAATGACACATTGATCGATATGGATATGTTCCAAGAGGAATTATGAGCTCCAAGTTTCTGATACCACAATACATTGCACCTTTCTTGAACTCTCATTCACAAGCTAAAGGCTCAATCATGTCTGCCGCAGGACCTTTGGATTGTCGGTGCCTTTTTTAAGGTTGTGATAGAGCATTTTGATGTATATAGCTAGTAAATTGTTCTTGGCAAGCATACTACACTCTACGACTTATATATAATGTTAGCGATAGTGTAATACTATACATTAACAATCCTTGTATTGAAAGGTTTTTCCTATTGACGTGTCCAAAATTTACATAACAATCCTAATGAAAATTCCATTGTCTTTTTTCTATGACGTCTCATAAGTACTTATAAAAATCCTAAAAACTTAATCCCTCTAAATTCAATCATGTGATCGTCAAAGGCAATAGAGATTGGTACCAGAACTTCAGTCAGTGAGAATTTTGTCATAAACATAATTAGCATTTAAACAATCGCTTAGAACATAATCTTAACCATGTGTTGCCACAATACTTTGAGATATAATGTCACAAGTTATACCAAGAATTTCAGTTTGCCTTGACGTTTTTAACTTTTTACAGCTCATAAGAGGCAGCAAATACAGATGGGAAAAGATATATTATGTGCCTTCCTAACATATCCTGTTGCTCTCCAAAAGTTATGAGGTCCTTTCAAGTGACAGTTTATACTGGATAGGTTTCATGAGTATGGAATTTTATGATATCATACCACGAATCAACGAAGTGGCACAATCTGCTAGTCCATACCACCTTTTTAGCTGATTTTTGACGGGGATGATTTAGCAATAGTTCCGTTGTCCATAATAGATCAGTACGAAGACACTTTAAGTTTTTCACTGTGTTGAGGATTTTCCTTCAATTTCAGCATCTTTTTGTGTTGGAAACAGGGGCATTAAAAAACATAAACTTTGGAAGAGATTTTGAATAGATTCCGCAAAGAATTTTTTGCGGATCTATAGACGAGCGTGTTCCTCTCTGCAAGGAGATGAACGTGGTATATTTACTTTCTCAAATCCGTTTCCGGGTGAATGAGAAATTAGCTCCAAAGTAAGGTGTTTGATAAAGCCTAAATGGGTTTGCAAAATGTGGGAAATGTTTGTCCCACATCGGAAAATTATGAAAACCAATTTAAGTTTAAATAAACCTAATATGGGATTTAGGTTTGGGCCCAAGGGCACCCAAGTTTTTAAGAGGGGGAAGGACCTAGGCAAGCTTGGGTCTGAACCAACTACCACACACGCACGCCGCCCACCCGACCCGGGGCGGGGCTTGATTGTGCAATATATTTAATTTTTTATTAAACGAAATTGGGCTTGTGTGATTGGATTTTGTTTTTATTTTTGTTGGGCTTATTAAGATGGCCGAATTGGGCCTGTTTGCTGAGCTTCATAATGGATTAAAACAGTTTTGGTATTTAATTTAAATTAAAACCATAAAACAGTTTTTTTTTTTTTTTATTATGAACCAACGGTTGCACCCTTTTGCAAAATAAACCACTTGCAGTTTTTCCTGAACCATTGTGAACCAATGATTGCACTCATCGGAAAAGGCACCATCTAGCCTATAAATACCCCTCCTTGGGTTCATTCCAAATCATACTAAAATTTAGAGAATTCTTCTCTTCTTCTGAATTTCTTCTTCCTCCTTCTCTCTTTAGTCTGTGGGTTCGAGCCTTAGTCAGTCACTCCGAATCCGAGTTTGAGTCAGAGAGTACTACACCGAGCCGGTTCGCCTATTCCTTTGGTTTGCAGTGCTACTACCGAAGGAAGACAAGTCGTTATATCCTGGGAGATAGACGCCACTGAGTCCGTTAACACCATAGCGGGGTGAATCTGTGTTAAGGACATAGAATCAAATTCTAGCTTCGACTTTTAATCAGGTTCATTTATTTTATAGTTTTATTTGATTATATTAAACTATATATTATAAGAAATTATATAATTATAGATTATTATTTTATATTTACAGATAATATTTAAATAAATAATACTATAGTATATAGTATAATTAGACCGAAGTTTTGGACAACAATCTTAAGACAGAATCGCCTTATACTATAGTTTAATTATTTAAATATTGTTGTTATTTTATTTCTGTAAATTTGACTGTGGTCTGTATATTTAATATATATCAGACAAATGGCAAGTACGAGTACTACTATGCCTAATGTTCCCGTCAGTCATGGGGAGAAACTCGAAAAATTCAATAGGGCGGAGTTTAAAAGGTGGCAACAGAAAATAATGTTCTACCTTACAACTCTGAATCTAAGCAAGTATCTAACTGAGACTGCCCCAGTGCTAGATGAGGGTGAGACTGACGTTACCAAGCTAGGAGCTATTGATACATGGAAGCATGGAGACTTCCTATGCAAGAACTATATCCTCAATGGATTGGACAACACTTTGTATAATGTGTACAGTCCAATAAATACTGCTAAAGAGCTCTGGGAGTCACTAGACAAAAAGTATAAAACAGAGGATGCTGGCTTGAAGAAGTTCGTGGTTGGACGATTTCTAGACTTCAAAATGATAGACTCCAAGACAATTATGAGCCAAGTGCAGGAACTCCAGCCGATCCTACATGAGATACATGCTGAGAAGATGACATTGATCCTACATGAGATACATGCTGAGAAGATGACATTGAGTGAATCCTTTTAAGTAGCTTGAAAAGCTGCCACCTACTTGGAAAGATTTCAAAAACTACTTGAAGCATAAGCGCAAGGAAATGGGGATCGAAGACCTGATTGTCAGGCTAAGAATTGAAGAAGATAACCGCACATCTGAAAAGAAAGCCGGGAATTCTTCAATGGTGTCAAAAGCAAATGTAGTGAAAGCTGGACAGAAGAATAAGAAGAGGAAGTACTCTGGCGAAGGCCCTAGCCAAGGAAACTACAAGAGGTTCATTGGGAAGTGCTTCATATGCAGCAAGCTAGGACACCGAGCTAAAGACTGTCGTAGCCGCAAAGTACAACACAAGCACAAGAAAAAGACCACTGAGGTGCATATTGCTGAGGAAAATAAGTTGATAACTAATGTGTCAGACCTAAATCTTTCTGCTGTGGTTTCTGAAATCAACCTGGTGAGCAACAATAGAGAATGGTGGGTGGACACAGGAGCTACTCGTCATGTTTGCTCTGAAAAAAGAATGTTCACTACCTATG